TCCTTCTCCTGCTGCTGCCTATTCCTGTTCTTGTGCTGCTCCCCTGATCCACCCCTCCACCCCTCCCACAGGCAAAAGGCTGCCGAGCAGGAGGCCAAGCTGCGCACCGCTATCCAGGACAAGAACAACTTCCAGCTGGAGAAGGCGGGGCTGGAGCGGGAGCTCAAGGCGCTGCGCCAGCAGGCGGAAAAGCTTACGAAGAACATGGACAAGGTGGGTGGGTGTGGTGGTGGGTGGTGTCTGGGGGTGCCTGCTCACCTCCTTTGGTCTTGGCACACGCCATAATGGTCTGCACTGTGCGGAGCCGCATGTTGCTGCGGTTGCGTGCGCTGGTTGGCGGCCCAGCTCCTCGCGCCGTGCTCCGCCCTCTGCTCTGCAGATCAGCGGCGTGGAGGAGAAGAAGCGGGAGAGCATCATGGTGGTGGCCAACCAGACCAAGAGCAGGCTGCAGCTGGCGGAGGACGCGCTGCACCGCGTGCAGGTGTGTGTGTGTGAAGGCAAGGAGAGCTGGGGCAGGAGACGGTCAGGGTTTGCGGTCGCTGTCAGCTGTCAGCTGCAAGGTCACTCACGCTGCCCTGCCTGCCTCTTTCCACAACACCTGGCCCGCAGGTGGAGCTGGAGAAGACCCAATTCGAGCTGCAGGCCAAGCGGGGTGGGTGGGCCTGTCCCCAAGCCAGCCTGCCGCCACTGCTGCCGCCTGCCTCGCTTTCCTCCAGTGCCGCGTCACACGTGCCTGGAGCCCTGGGCCTGAGCGCTGGGCTGCTGCCTTGCCCTCCCGCTGCTGCAGGCGAGTGTGAGGGGCTGGACGCTGAGCTCAAGGAGACCAAAGCAGCGCTGGCGGAGCTGCAGGTGGGAGGCTGGCGACAAACGCAGCGCCTGCGCTCGATTGCCCCACTTCATGTGGAGTGCTGATGGGGAGCGGGCTGGCCTCTCGTACCATTTTGGGTGTTAGGATTGTGGCCTGGCTCACGCTGTTGCCCCATCCGCTATTGCCCCATTGGCGCACCCCGGCCATGGCGCGTGCAGGCGGAGCGTGATGAGCTGGCGGCCCAGCTGGCGGCCACTGAGACGGAGCTGCAGAATGTGCAGGACAACCTGGAGCAGGCCAAGTGAGTGGGGAGAGGGATAGATGGGGATGTATGACTAGACAAGACGGGAGGGATGCAGGATGGCGTGCCTAGTGCCTGGGAGGCCTGCCTGCTGCCTGCTCTCCAGCGGCGCTCCCCGGGGAAGCTGAGCGGGCTCCTGCTGCCGTGCCTGCCGCAGGGCGGAGCTGGCGGGCAAGGAGGAGGAGCTGGCGGCTGTGGGCGCAGACAAGGCGGAGCTGGAGGGACGGCACAACGTGCTGAGGTGGGGGCTGCTGCCTTGGGGGTTGGGACCTGATTTGGGATTCTCCTTCTCTGTTGGGCTCCCTCCTCAGCCGGGCCCCTCCCTCTGCTTGGCATGACCAGCCAGAAAGAAAGGCTTTGGTGCCCTTCGAGGTGTTCCATTGTGTTGCCCCTCACGCCGGCTGCCGTTGCCCTTCTTTGCCCTTCTTTGCCCCCTGCAGCGACGAGCACGCGCTGCTGAAGCACCAGAAGGGCGACGCGGATGGCGAGCTGGAGGCGGCTCGCGAGCAGCTGGCCAAGACGCAGGACGCCCTGGCTGCTGCCGAGGTGTGGGCGGCGTGCTGACAGCGACCGCGGCCCCGCACCTGCACCATGGCCTGCCTTCTGAGTACCCACCCACCCACCCACACCAACACGCACTCGCTTACAAGCCCCTGCAGGCCCGGCTGCCGGAGATTGAGGAGCTGCAGAAGCAGCTGACCGCCACCCAGGCGGAGCTGACTGAGGCCGGGTTCAAGGGGGCAGAGGAGGCGACGGCGGCAGAGGCGCGCGAGAAGGCGCTGGCGGGTGCGCTGCAATGGTGGGGGGGTGGGGTGGGGGTGGGGGGGGGTCGCTGGGGCTCACTTGTGGGTGCGGGGATAGCTTTTTGCCGCGTGGGTGGCATTGGACAAGAGAGTAAGGGGAGGCAGCTTAGCGGCCAGAGTCCCCGATGCCCCTGCCTGCCTGCCTGCCCTGCGTGCAGCGGAAACCGAGGGGCTGCAGCAGCGCATCGACGAGGTAGCCGCCAAGAAGCTGGGAGTGGAGGCGGAGCTCAAGACGGTGGCAGGTGGGCAGGGGTCATGCTTGCTCTGCTGCCTGTCTGTCGGCCGCTGGCAGCTGGTCGCCTTGACCACGCTGCCGCCATGCGGAGCGGTGCCATGCATCCAGCCCGAGCAACCTCCCAGCCCTGCTTGCCTCCCTGCCCTGCTGCAGGGGCCCGGGATGCGCTGCAGCAGGAGGTGGCGGCAAAGGCGGCTGCCGTGGCCAAGCTGGAAGGTGGACGGGCACCCTTGCAACCCTACTCGCGGGCCTCGCTACTCGCGGGGACCTGCTTTGCTGCCGTCGGCCCGCGGAGCCACGCTGCGTCCCGCGGCCGACCCGCTCCCTGCCTGCCTGCCTGCCCGCTGCAGGCGAGCTGCATGCCGCCAACGAGGAGCGCGACTGTGTGCGGCAGCAGGAGGAGCAGGCCGTGGCGCGGTGCCAGCAGCTGGAGGGGCAGGTGGCCGAGCTGCAGCAGGATGGGGCTGCCAAGCAGGCAGACCTGCAGGGCGCGCGCGGCCAGCTGGAGGCCACCGCCGCAGATCTGGCTGCCGAGCGGGAGGCTGTGGCGGCGCTGGCAGGTGGGGGGCAGGCCGCTACCTGCTGGGGGGACGCGCTGGGCGTCGCTGTTGGGGTGCTCATTGCAGCCGCCTGCAGGTTGCTTCATTAATGGGACATGTCACTGCCCCAACTGCCGTTGGTTTCATCCCTGCCTCCTGTCCTTCCCCGCAGCCGACCTGGCTGCTGCCAAGGAGCAGGCTGCGGTCCTGGGCGAGCAGCTCGCCTGCCTGTCCGACGCCAAGGGCGGGGTGGAGGAGGCGCGCGCCAGCCTGGCGGCCCAGCTGGCGGCGCTGCAGGCTGAGCTGGCTACGCTGCGGGGCGACCGCGAGGCGGATGCTGCGGAGTATGAGCGGCGGCTGCAGGAGGCGGTGGACTCTGCCGAGAAGTGGAAGCAGTTTGCGGAGGGGGTGCAGGCCAAGGTCGGCGAGCTGGAGCAGCAGTACGGGGCGGTACAGGCGGAGCTGCAGGTGGGCTGGGGCAGCCCAGGCAGTACAGGCAGTACCGGCAGCAGCAGCATATAGGCCGGGATGTGGCGTGTGCAGCTCTTGCTGAATGGCCTTCCCGCTGCTGCACCTGCGCCACGTGCCTGGGAGCTCCCGGCTCGTGCCCACCACCACGCATACCGACGCGTGCCACCTGCCCCTTCACCCCGCACCTGCCACCCTGCAGACCGCCCAGCAGAGCCTGGAGGTGGCGCAGGAGGCCTGCAACGACCTGGACATGCGGGCGGGCCAGGCTGAGGCTGAGCTGGCAGAGGAGCGGCGGCGGCTGGGCGTCGAGGTGGCGCAGGTGGGCGGGGCTGGGGGCTGGGATGCGGGGGCGGCTGGGAGGGCGCCACGCCTTGCGCTTGCTGCTGCTGCTGCCCGCCCGTGGTGGCGGTGGACATGGGCAAGCAGCTCTGGCTGCTTTCTGCGTGTGCCCTGTTGCGGATGCTTGGCCTGTTTGCCTCCACGCACCCTCTCTCACACATACACATATGGCCCGCATGCCCTGCCTGCAGCTCCAGGCGGACTTGGAGGCTGCCGTGGCCGCTGCCCAGCAGGCGGGCGAGGCGCTGGAGGCGCAGCGTGGCGAGGCCGCAGCCGCAGCCGCCGACGCCGAGGCCGCACGTGCGCAGCTGGCTGCCGAGCTGGCGGCCGCCCGCCAGGCGGCCGACGCTGAGGCGGGGCGGGCCGCGCAGGCGGCGGCGGCCGCGGCTGCTGAGCTGGCGGCGGCGCAGGCTGAGCTGGCGGGCGAGGGCGAGCGGCTGCAGGCGGAGCTGGACCAGGCGCAGGGGCTGGCTCTGCAACTGGCGGCGGAGAAGGAGCAACTGGAGGTGAGGAGAGTCGACCAGTTGGGGTTGGTGTGGGGCGTGGCAGGGAGGCAGGGAAGGGGGCGTGCTTCAGCTTGTCGGTGGGAGGTGCCGGTGCTCCTCCACCCGCACACCAGGGCAGCAGCACACCTAGGTGTGCCAACCGGCAGGCGTGCTGCGGCAGAACAGAGCTTGGACGTCCAGGGCTGTGCCCCACGCCTCCATGCGCCGAGCCCCCTGCACCCGCAGGGCGACATTCGGGAGGCGGAGGCGCGCGCCGCGCGTGCGGAGCGGGAGAAGGAGGCTGTTGAGCACAGCATGGGGGCGGAGCTGGAGGAGCTGCAGGCGGCGCTGCAGGCGGCGCTGCAGGTGGGCGGGGTGTGGGTATGTAGGGGTAATGCCAACCCACCCAGAGGGTCTGCAGGCATGCAGTGCTGCAGGCGCGTGGATGGGTGTAGTGGCGGGTGTTGGCTGGGGCATAGACCGGCTGGCGCTGGCTCCGCCTGCCCGGCTGGCACATTCGCCCATCACGCCGGCTGCTCACCCCGCCGGCCCGCCGCCCGTGTCTGCCCCCCACAGGCCGCCGCCGCCGCCCCGGCCGCAGGGCAGCCGGACGAGGGCTCCGCCGCGGCGCAGGCCGCCGCCGAGCGGCACGGTGCCGAGGTGCGGCGGCTTCGCAGCGAGCTGGCGCACCTGCAGCGCATGATGGCGCACGACGACGTGGCGGGCGGCGGTACCGCCGTCGCCGCTGCCGCGCGTTTCTCCCGTACCTCCATCGCCGACATCTCCGACTCGCAGGTGGGGGGCGGGCGAGAGTGGCGGGGGTGTGGCGGGTGGTGGCGAG